ATCAATCCATAAAATCTCTTTTCTTATTCTCCTTTCTTTTCCTCTTGAGTATTACTTTGTGGAGGAGTGTCTTTGTTTCTTCTGATTCTTGCTTTACTAGTTTTTCTCTCTAAATGTTTCCTTTCATGACTCTTCCCCTGACTCTGGTATCTGCCACATCAAGAGAACTTTCCCAACATCTCTTATCTTATTAGGAGAGTGTATAAAGGATGATTCCTCCTTATTGTCTCATCCTTTCCTTCTGGACTATTAATGGCAATTTGGAATATTTTGCTTTTTAAAGGAGTGTTGGGATAAAAGAAGAAAGTATATCTTTTTTAACATGTGGCAGGATGGAGATATAAGGGAGGAAAATAAGAGTGTTATTTCTTTCAATAACTTGAAATGTTACTAGCAGGAGTGTTTTGTCAATTATAGAAGGTATTTTTAATTCCTTAAAAGAAAGACTTATGGGGGGATGCTACGGCCCAGGATAATTAGTCTGTGACACAAACTGCATTCACTCTCTTGATGACATGTGTTAGCTGGAATTGATAAGGACAAATTGATGCGCTCAAGCATGGGGAAGAGAGTCTAGAAATACTCATTGTGTCATTATGACTTCACCTGGCATATTATTCTATGAAAAGCCTCAAGTATCCTAACTTTTCTCACCCTTCATAAATTCAGTGTGAACATGCACCCAGTAACCCTTTGATCCAGATTCACTTTATACTGTGTGCCCAAGGGGACCTCAGCCACCAACTCTGCTGGGTCTCATCTCGGTAGACTCAGAGGGCCAAACCTTTGGCTTGCTATGTAGGACCTGCTCTGTAGCTGTATGTTTTATTCAGAGTATTATTCCCTTGGGGCCTTCAGTATCTCCTAAAGATTAATAAGCAATCAGCCAATCTGTCTTCTTACAATGTGGACAGATCTTTCCATTCTTTTTTAGAAAATAAAATTTACTAAGAACAGTGGCACTTGCCCCTTTTTCGTCAGAGATAAAAAGAATCAGAGTCTTACCAGGAAGATGGAGAGTGCAATGACTTTTAGCTTTCTGCAGCACAGGAAAGGAGACTGTGATTTCCCCACACTAGCTAGAGAATTCTGCTCCTTCTGAATCAATTGGGTGATCATATTCTTATTAGAAGGGAGTGTGTTTGTCCTCATTCTACTTTGAGCCAATAATTACATAGTTCTGCCTTTCGTGTCCATTTAAAATTAGTGTTACAGAATACATTTATCACAGTTATTCATAGTGTAAGTGACCAACCCTAAGGGAAATTAACTTAAAAATCAATTGTGTATTTATATATTTATGGTTCAAATCCCAGGAAAACTGGAAATATATGCATGAAACATAGTAGTGCCCCAAGACAAAACAACACCAGCCTAAAAGGAAACTGAACTGGAGGTAGAGCTGATGAAAATCAGAAAACAGGCCTAAGAAATTTAATACTAATAAATGCCATTGTTGAACAAATAACTGCATGTTAATAGTTCATACATTTTTATCTCTAATCTTCAGCAAGAAGTATCATGGTCCCATTTTTCAGATAGTGAAACTAAGGCCTAAAAGGTGGAGAAACTGACCCAGGTCACTTAGTTATTAATTTCTCTCTGACCCCAAAGCCCATGTTCTTTCCACTATGAAAGCTATACTACTGGTCTCAACTATTTCTTCTTTGTTGGGCTTCCAAAATTAAACTATGTTTCAGAACCAAAAGGTAATTCCACAGTTTGTCAAAGTAAGCAGTAGAAGGCATTTTAAAGTAAAGAAAATATTAAGTTAAATTGGAAAACATGAATGAAGCAGATGCAAATTTTATAGTAACTTGAATTCAAGACAAAAGGCAAAGGAACAGGTTTTTAAATTATTTTCCAGATTCTTCTTTTGAGGTGAAGGAGATAGAAATTTTAGTCATTCAACAAATTGCTATTTTTCTTCTTCTCCCAAAAGATTGTTGATTCTACAAATCAACAATCTTACAAAATTTAGATATTCATTAATTTTAGCATTTCCAATAAAATTAAGGAGAGTTTCGTGTACTATATTTTATTTTATGTGGTTCCTGAAATTTGGAGCATTAATTATTATTTTTTGCATAAACAGATAAATTATGTCTATTGAAAATATGTAAACTGCCTGATTTTTGAAGGGAAAATATTGCTTTCTGTTTATTAAAGAGCACTTAAAAATTTTAATGGACTACGAATTAATTTAACTCAAAGCTGATCTGTAGAAACATGAAATCCCATGGAATATTTTCCTTACTTCAGACAAACCCCAATTCCATGCAAACCTCCAGGGAGAGTGAGTTCCTGGTTTGTTTTTCTGAAGCTGAGGCATTCTGCATGTAAGGTCATTACCTGTGGCTCTTTCTAGATGTGGTGCACAGGCCGAGTGTCCATATTGGAACTGCCAATTCTTTTGATGACCCTGCCCATTTCACTACTATTGGGCTACAACTCTTAATCAAAGTCACTTCAAAGACCCCAAACAGATTGATTCACATGTGAATGCAACCCAAACTGTCTTCCAAAGGAGGAGGGATTCTAGTCTTATGTTCCTTTGAACCTACTGTTGCTCATTTACTAGTATTTACTTTGCATGGCCTATTGCTGAACCATGGAAATTGGAAAACAAACTCCTATTCAGCAAGTCATGTCAAAGGTGACTGCGGAGCCCGAGAATTGACTGTGGGACAGACATTCTTTCTGATCTGGAGGCCTCTTCTGCGGCACTGCTGTCTCCACAGTTACATACCTGTCCGTGGAAGCCTTTCGTTTATCTTGTCTATGTGGGAAGTCCTAGACGATGCCATCAATCTGAGAGATGAGAGAGATGCCCATGTGACACTCCAACAATGGTTGTGGGGGTGGGGAGGGGAAGAAGAGAAAGAAAGAAAAAAAATTAGCCAATCCTGAACAAAGTTCTTTTGAACTATACCACGGTCATAGAGAAGATCCCATAGGCACTTCTGTTCAGAAACATACTTTGTACTCTGCCAAACACACAGTAAGGCAAGCATTTCCACTTGAGAATAGAACATGGATACTGTCCAACGACTCAGGGAAGATCGGACAGGAAATAATCACATTCCTGAATTTTCTTTAGGGGGAAGTCAGATTCCCTTAGAATAATGCAGCTGCAGCACGCCATCACTGCTTACCGGTCATTGATGAAGACCATATTTCCTGTTACTTCTTCTTATGGCAGAGTCAGTAGAGGGGTACCCAGGATGTTGTGTTTGAATGACTTGGGTGTTCTGTGGCCCCCAAACCAAGGTTGCTGGTATTTTTACTAGTCTGGATTGCACATTGAAAAATGTTAAAATTGGATTCTTTTGAGATATTTTCAAACACATTTTAAAGTTATTCTAATGTGAGAAATTCACCAACCCAGATTGAATGATAGATCTTTTTTTTTTCCTGAAAAAAAATACTTTGAATATGCATTTTTTACTCTATGAGGTTGCACGTTTCAATCATGAGATTGCACGTGAAAGTGCCTGGGAAGATGTGACATGCTTCTCAGCCTCCCAGCCATCATCACCAGCTCCACCATCAGCAGCACCTAACAGGGCCCTTTGGAAGCAGAGCTGAATGCTCTGTCTATGATGGAAGCCAAGTCCTGTTGATGTCACTCGAATTGAGATGAAGATGAAGCTTTTCTTATGCTAAGGTCCTTGACGAAGAGCTTTGCTGCCAAGCTAACACTGCTCCAGCCAGCTGACCCTTTGGGCAAGGTGCAAAGTCCATCTGTTTACACAGTCTTTTACTCCATGGGGGTTAATTTGAGAAGAAATTTCTCAGACATGATATGGAGGAGATGTGAGTGTGAATAGTAGTGTTTATTTAGTGCCGTTTTTTTTTCTATCTGACATATTTCATAAATATTCCAAATGCCTACAAAAGTAGACCAATGTATTCATTTAAAGCACCACAGGATGTTATTTACAAGTCTAATTGAATCAGTTCTGTTCAATGAAAGGATACAATTTTAAATACAGACTGAAAATAAAAATTCAATTTCCTTGTGACAGGAATATGCACTGTGTTTTAAACAATTGTTTTAATCATCATTCAGATCTCAAAATAGCTGAGATAAGAGCAGATGAAGAGGTAAAAATAGCAAAGTAATCCATTGAGAGACCCTATGGAGAATCCAGCATCAACTACAGTGATCTCATGTGTCTTCTGTAGACTCTCTCTCCGCCCTTGGAGTTTTGCTATTGCAGAAGTCACTGAAGTCATCTGCAAGGTCATTTCCATGCACACCATGTCCTTCCACTTATATTCCAAACTTCCTACTAAGACCACCAAATGCTTCACACCACGATCTCATTCATCTGGGTTACGTCACTCTGGAGTGGCGTGTGGATATATTTCCTAGAATGTCCTCATGGGGCCATGAATGAGAGTTACTAGATTTTTACTAGTTTTTACTAGTTCTTTAAACTCCCTTGTTGTCATAACTTTAGCTAAAAATTTAAGCGGTAGTGACTATATACATTTTAACAAAATTAGTGGGAAAATCGAACCAAGAACCCAACTTCCCTGTCAGCCTAATTTTTCACTCACCAGATCACATCAGCTCACGAACATGTATGTACCTGTGTGTGGGGTGGTGGGATCTGGAAGGGGCAGGGTATGTATGCAATAAAGTGACTGTTGGTATGTGGAACCGGGAGAAATAACATATTGGGTTTAAATAGTATCAGAGGTCTTGAAATAGCTCTATTCAACCTCAGGCTTGGTTTTTAATTTGCATTTTTCTCCTCTTTAAGATAACTCTGAACGTTGAGCTACAAGTGGCACCTGCTGGAGACGGCTTGTTCAGGTGTAACTAATGAAAATATTCGGTAGGGCTCTTGCTTGTGCCCGACACTGTGGAGTGTGAGGGGCGCAGAGACTCATGGAAGGGACACGGCAGCAGCATGGCTGCTGGATAAGAGCCGCCCACCCTCCTCTTCCCCATCCGTCACTGCCAGAGTCACTGGGACCCTTAAGTCTGCATGTGTTGTAAGCCCGCTGCCCGCCCCGTCAGTCCTCCGGTCCACCCATCCTCCTTCCTTTCTCTGCCACTGGCCTCCCGACGTCGGAGACCGGAGACCGGGGACGGGATAACTCCCACTCCCCACCCCACCCACAAGCCCCGGGGCCGCACCACGGAGGATGTGAAGCTGGGGGTCCCCTCGCTCCCGCAGGGCAAAGAAGATGCCCGAAGAATGGACCTACCCTATGAAAAGAGAGATGCAGGAAATTTTACCTGGATTGTTTTTAGGTCCATATTCTTCTGCTACGAAAAGCAAGCTACCTGTATTACAGAAACATGGAATAACCCCTATAATATGCATAAGACAAAATATTGAAGCAAACTTTGTTAAATCAACCTTTCAACAATTGTTTAGATATTTAGTCTTGGATATTGCAGATAATCCAGTTGAAAATATAATACGTTATTTTCCCATGATTAAAGAATTTACTGACGGAGAAAAAGTTCTTGTCCCAGGAAATGCAGGGATCGCCAGGAGTGCTGCCTCTGTTATTGCATACATTATGGAAACATTTGGAGTGAAGTACAGAGATGCATTTGCTTATGTTCAAGAAAGAAGGTTTTGTATTAATCCTAATGCTGGATTTGTCCATCAACTTCAGGAATATGAAGCCATCTACCTAACAAAATTAACAATACAGATGACGTCAGCACACAAGATAGAAAGGTCATTATCTGTTCATTCTGGACTCACAGGCAGTTTGCAGAGAACACAGGAAGAAAAAGATGGTTTGGGAAACATGCAGGTGGTGGCTGCAAAGAATGGCCGGCTCAAGAGCAACAAACATAGGGGATGTGAATTTCTATTTGGGAGGGAGAAAATACTAGAGACAATAATAATGTAAAATGGTAAAAACAAACAAAAAAAACAAAAAAGAAAAAGAAAATATTTGATGGGCGTGTCCACTGGGCCAGTGTTACTCCAAGCACTTGACACGCCTTGCTTCATGTAAACCTCACAAGTAACCTATGCGGTGGGTACTACTGTTTTTTCCACCTAACAGATGAGGGAATTAAGGCTAAGGAGCTGAAGCAACTTGTATCTAGCAAGTGGGGGTTGGGATGACTCCAGAGCCTGCATTATTAATCCCCGTGCCCTGCTGCTTCCTCTGTGCAAGCTGCACCCACTGCAATCCAAGGGACTGGGTGGAATTCAACACCCAGTACCTTAGGGAGATGCTCTGTCGGAATTAATGGAGGTCAGTTTTTAATGGAACAGCTTGGGACATGGCTAGACACCCATTAATGTGGAATAACCAAGGAAACATCTGTCAAAAATAAGCCGGTTTGGATGTACAAAGATCACTTGTTATTTGCAAAATAGTCATATGTACACAAATGGAGGCTGATTTGAACTTAAACATTTTGTCCTCTAGTAGAACAGGTTGACTATTTTCTTTGAAATCAGGTTCACGGCATGAATTTGTCTCCAAAATCTACACTGCCCAGAGGTCAGGTCTCTCTGTCGGAACTGTGAGGAGCTCTGGACTGGGGGTCTGAACAGTAGTGAGGTCCCAGTGTATCTGCCTCTTGGTCTGTATTTGAGTTCTGAGTATGGCTGTCTTCCCCTGGTGATATGCTCGTCTCTAAGTGAATCAGACTGGAGCCTCAAATTTCTCTCCCTCAAACCCTTATGACATTGTGCATGATAGAATGCAATTCTACCCCTGCCAGCAACAGGTGCAGCGTGGGGAAGAACACCGTTCCACAGATAACAAGCATGCATATGTCTGGTGGATTTAATTAGACACAGTGCCCATTAACAATTTCTGCAGATGTTCACATCAAATCAGCTGAGCTAATTTTCTCACACTTTTCAGTTTGGTCTATTTTCCCCTTTCCCAAGTGTAGCTACTCTCACCTTTATCTTATGATGCCTACATGCGAGCAAACTTCCTTCTGCTCCTGGAATCCAAATATTCAATTCACTGTGTGATGTTGAAGAGATACAACTGCTGGTTGATACTTAGTCTTTGCTCTGAAACATATATTATTCGTGGTTAAGGGCCCTTTCTGGAGAGTAGGGAAATAGTGGTTGTGTCTAGCTAGGAGCTGCTTAGTCTCTATGTCAGCTAGTCTCTGACACAGAGAACGTGCACACTGGGTTCTCTGAGGCACACTGGCCACCTAATCAAATAATTAAAAAGAATTGATATCAGCTGCATTTAACTCTCCTGCAGAAGCACTTTGTGAAATTAAGTACTCGTGGTCCCAGAAAGCTAATGCTTTTTCTAAAGAATGCAATTTATTCCCAAAGGGGATCTGAGAGAATGTCTTCATAGCTACCTATGCTAGATTTAAAAAACAAGCGTATTGTAACAGAGTGGAAAGAAGACTTGACCCAGGAATGAGGGGATTTGGGCGCTCATCTCAGTCCCATCCCTAACTACCTGGGTAATCTTGGTAAATCACTTCACCCCTCTCGGCCTTACTTTATTCATTTATGAGACAATAAGATGGGAGGTTTTATTTTTAAGATTTCTTCTAATTCAAAAGTCCTGTACTTTTTTAAATAGCTAAATGACATTGTTTCTCTCTACCCTACAAGCATGACTCATGGCCACACGATAACATTAGAATAAAAGATAGGCACCGAGCTTTACATATAACCTTCCTTTAAAGGCTCTCAACAACACTGGCAGGCAGACACAGTTATTATTCCCATTTTAGAAAAATCACTCCCATGGGCAGATTTCACGATACCTCTAAAATAATGAGGTCTTTAACAGATCAGTATGGACACGAGCACAGAGAGGTCTAAAATACGGTAGTTGTCACTTTCCTGTCCTTTCCTTTCTGTCACCTCAAGTCTCAACTACCTCTGGGGAGTGGATACATCTCACATCTCCAAAGCAGAGACCCAGAGCAGAGGCGCTCTTCGGATGATCTCCAGGTCTAAAATACACACCCATAACCACCTAGTCTCCTCCAGGTGGCTCTACAGGGGTTGATGATTAGGAAGGTAAGGAAGAGCTTCTGTTAAGAAGGAGCATTCATAGACCATCTAGAAATAAGACTATAGCTACATAGAAAATATCAGACACAGGCCTTTTGGGAAGTCTTAGGACCTGCCTCTGATGATTGGTATGAGGCTGGGGAGGATGAGGAAAGATAGGACAAAGTTGCAAACCAACAGGATAATTTACAAGATCACAAGGTAACTTACCTAAGGCTTTGTGTTATGAAGTCTCTGTGTTAAATATCATGTAGATATATATTTTAGTTTATTCTTTCATTTTGCCTGCTTGTTTATATGCTAGCTTGTCATTTTCATGTTACTACTATATTCAGGATCATAAAACATTTTCTAATGAGGTTTAGAGTTTGGGTTAGAGTTTTTGACAGCGCAAACAGAAGGTAACTCCTAGACCCACCTTATGCCCATAAATTACCTGGGATCATGCATGACAACCAGACTTCACATTTCAAGCTGAGAGCTGGAACCAAGGGATAGCGTTGACAGATGTAGCAGATTGACAGTACAAATGTGTTCTTATTTTGCATAAATAAATTTGCACATTGTACTAAGTCTAGTAAGTGGACTCTCAAAGTCCCATGACAATCATCAGAATTAAAGGAGTGAAAGTACGTTAGGTGAGCCAATATAGGTAAGTGAACACTATTAGTTCAGTAGTATTTATGCAGTTCAAGAGATCTAGAAGGAAAAATTCCATGTCATGCTCCATGGCATAAGCAGTGGCATTTGATTAAAATAATGTGGCAACCCTAAGATCCCTGCCATATGCAAAGCATAGTTGGATAAGAGATTTATGAGGAAATTTCATCTTCCTTTCATTTACAGCACCATTGCTGATGACAGGAGGGAATAATAGAATAGGGATTTATAGCAACATTCATTACTCTAGCCATTTGATTTTTTTGAAGTCTTTGCAATCTTTTTTATTTTTTAATTGATACATAATGTCAGTTTTAGATATGCAACATAATGATTTGATATATATATATATTGTGAAATGATTACCAGAGTAAATTTAATTAAATTCCATCACCTCAATAGGTATAACTTTTAAGATTTCCTCTCTTAGCAACTTCCAAATATATAATATAGTATTGTTAGCTATAGTCACCATGCTGTACATTTCACCCCCAGGACCCACTTGTAACTAGAAGTTTGTATCTTTTGGCCACCTTCACCCATTTCACCCACCCTACACACCCCCTCGCCCTGTCTCAAGCAACCAGCAATCTGTTCTTCGTATCTGAGTTCAGTTATTTTTCTTCTTTAGAGTCCACATACAAATGAAACCATATAGTATATGTCGTTCTCTGTCTGATTTATTTCACTTAGCGTGATGCCTTCAAGTTTCATCTGTGTTGTCACAAATGACAGGATATCCTTCTTTATGGCTGAATAATATCCCATTGTATTTATACACCACATTTTTTTCTATCCATTCATCCACTGATAGACATTGATATTGTTTCCATGTCTTGGCTAGTGTAAATAATGCTGCTCTGAACATGGGGTTGCAGATATCTTTTCAAGATGGTAATTTTGTTTCTATTTGATTTTTTGAATAGTGCATCTGAATGGTCTTTTCCATGTTTCTAAACTGGACATTGAAATTAGCTTTGGTGGGGGGGTACTTTTCAAAGGAAGTGTTCCTTTGAGGGCAGGATTGATACATGGGTCCCACAGGCCTTCCAGTGCGTAAGAAAGCAAAGCCTACTACCACCTTCAGAAGAAAAGCATTTCTTTTTTTTTCTTTAAGATTTTATTTATTTATTTGAGAGGAAGAGAGAGCAAGCAAGAGCACAAGAGCAAGGGGAGGGAGAAGGAGAATCCCCGCTGAGCAGGGAGCCCTGTGTGGACCTCGATCCCAGGACACTGGGATCATGTCCTGAGCCAAAGGCAGCTGCTTAACCAACTGAGTCACCCAGGTGCCCCAGCATTCCTTTTGTTAGAAAAGAACATACTCCCTTTTTCACCTTACATGTATAAGCCTTGAAAGGGCAGAGTTATCTATACACCACTTATTAGGGTGATTATCATCATTTTAGTAACTCTATATATTAACTTATTCTGAAAAGAACATTTGAAGTATAATAAGCTATTAAAAATGTCCACCTACATGTGTCCAGGTGCAGTGTTTCATTATCCATCTTTAAAGATTAATGTGTTCTGCACAAGCAAATTGTACAATAATGTGAACTTCACTGATTATGCAAAAAGCTGTTTTCTTTCCCATTCGTTGTGAAAATTTGCTTTAAATACGCATTTTACACTTCTGCCTTTGAAAGTAGAGGATCTTGAGCGGAGTGATATCATTTAAACTTGCCCTGGTGACTTAGAGTTTTCCCTTGAAATAAGTGTCTTTTTTTTTTTTAATGCAGGATCTTAATCCTGTCCTGAATTTCCCCTTCTCTGGAGCAGAGTGGTAGTTGTCACATCACCTGTCCCTTTACAGCTTTACCCTTCAGGTTCCCTTCGTCAATGTTACTTAGGACCAGGAAAGTGTACCCAAACTAAGAGACAGTAAGACTTCCAGTGAGTTCCTAAGGAACTAAAGTGTGTAGCTCTAGGGCCAGGAGTCTGTGACAGAGACTTGGGGGACTAGTGGCATCTTTCCTTTACTTTGGTACTGTTCCAGAGCCCAGGGTTTCCTGAAATCTGACCCTGGAAGAGTGGAGTGTTAATGTCCCTGTTTGCATATCCCTTACAGATTATAATCCAGTATTGGTCAAATGGTTGAAAAATTAAAATCTACATGATGAATATCCTCCATGTGTGGCCCATGTATTTTTACAGGATGCAGAAAGAAGGTATCTTTTCGTTATCTCTGACTCCCTCAGTATGAATCCATAATTCCCATCAAAGCCATAC